GTTAACTTATAATTATCATTACATTAACATTGCATTATCGTTGCGTTATCTTCGTGTAATCTGTAACCATCACAATCAACCTTGCATTATATTGTATTGACAATGAACAAATTTTCCAATTTCGGAAATTTTAGGAAAGGCGTGCTCGTATTTTATGTTTAATAATTTTCTGTTTAGAAATATTCGGGTTTATAGCTAATCACCGTAACCATACCTTCTTTCCATAAATTGGCTGCTGGTATCACATGACTCTGCTTCTAGGCTATATGCACCATAGTAAATATTAATAAATCTTCATTGATCATCGATACTTTTTCAATCAGGATAGCTTCGATTTTTTTCAAATCAGATACAGTTTTTGAATCCAACAGTGTTAAAGATTCATAATGTCTATCATAGTGTCTGATTTTTAAAGCAGAATGAAGGGTTTTTCTACCGATTATTTGGGCAGCAATACTGGTGGAGGCAAGTAATAGATATATTTTTTTTTGACTAGAGAAAATGAATTATTTGAAAAACTATAAAGGTTTTACCAGTCCCGGCCACGCCGGTTAGAAAAAAGTAGTAATATTTTCTATCAGACGATCTGCCTCATATATTACAAAGCATATCATAAATTTTATATTGCTTCGTATGGAGGGATAACGAAGCTTTGGTGTTAAGTTGATGATGATGTTTTTTTAAAGAGAGTAGCTGATTAAAGATCAAGTCAGTTAAGTCTTGATTTACAAAATCGGGTAGAACAGAGTCTAATATCAAGTTATACAATTTTGACAAACTATCCTTTTGTTCTAGATAGATTTTATGAAGATGAACAATAGCTTGTTCATATCTTATAGGGAACATAGAACAAAATCATTCTCTGTAAGTAGTGTATCCTTTCAGCAAGTCTTTATCTGATCTTGCAGAGATTTTTATAAGAAAATGTTGATAGAAGAAAGGTTCACCATCTATAACTTTGTATGTTGCGAATCGGATAAAGATAGATGATTTTTGTTGAACCACTACTTTGTTTTTATGATCACAAGAGTAGAACAGGGTTGAATGCGGACCTGGAGATTTAGATCTTATTAAATAATTTTTGTGATAATCAGGATAAGTAATGTCTCAAAAAATGTTATCATAGGGTCTATCAAAATATTTTCTATAGCATCATCCCAATAAGGTGTGTCTTCATTGTTTTCACCATCTTCTTGATTATTATCATCATTCAAAAAATTATTTATCAAATAGATCGGTTTAACAGAACACGAGTATAGTTCTGAAAGAGCAGAGGGGAGGTAGTGTATGGATACCAAACACCTTGTTAAGGATATTGTAATAATAGGACCATCAATTCTATTGAACCCAAACTTCGAGCCATTACATGTTTTTAGTAATCATTTCCATCGTCAACATCAAATAATTCAGAAGGCTCAGGTTTCTTTATGTATTTTGTAATATTTTAGTGAAACCTGTTGAAGTAATATACTGGAAATTGATGTGTGCTCACCAAATCAATAAAGTTTCAGAATTATAGGGAATGATAAACCTATCATTTTCTTTAGTATGATGATAAATATAATGTAATTGATTAGGAGAATAATAAGTTGTGTTGGATAAAGGTTGGAGAAAACCTTTAGAACATTGTAAACTATTATAATTTTGATCTTTACATTTTTGATTACAATGGTGCACTTGAAACATCATTACTAATTCATATAAGTTGGGTTCGGTTTAAGAATCAGGAATATCAGCACGAATCATGTTTAAAGAAATAAGTTTAGAGATGGTTTTTTCAGTATAAGCAAAGCTGTGTGTATGTATTGTTCCTCTATTTTGGAACTCGTCATGTTCAAAATAATGTAACTATTTTCCCCATTGAACCAAATTGGGGTTTTTCTATAATTTTTTACGAATATTATTCAATCGATTATGGTAATGCATGTATATGTATAATAGATGGTTAGTTGGCATAGGTCTTTATTATCAGTAGAAGATAAAATTACATTTAAGTGTGACCACTTGTCTTCTGCCATAGTTAGAGTAAAAAACAATTGAAGTATCCCATATGTATTTATTATTGTATTAACTTGATATTGTTTTTTCTTAAAAAAAGAGGTAGCGGTTCTTAGATTTGAACATAATGTTATGGTTTTAGTCTCATCAAGTATATTTCAGTTACCATAAGAGCTCTTAGCGATCAAATCTGCTCTTGTCGGATGATGATTACGGTTCACGATCTGAGTTGCTAACAACCTCTGTTGATTTTGAAAATTATGCTTTTTTTCAAGATTTAGGTATGACTAATGAGGCCAATACCAATGTAAATGAAAATGAGGATCGGGACATAGCATTTTTAATTTGATGTATTTCCCGTAACTGTCTAATGAGGGTTGAAAATTTAGAAGTTTTTTGACATCTTCATAATGTCCTCGACCTGTAGAAAATAGGTCAGGAAACATCAAAGCTTCAAGATCAGGATTGTCAAATAAAATCAGAAAACGGATTCGATCATTTTGTATAGTGCCAGCTATTAGACGACTATAATGAGAATCTTCGTTATGAACTTCACGAGAGAATGAATCATTAGAAACAACTAAGTCAGGTAGACGGGGTGTTTCAACGTGAAGGGTACTTTGATGAAGATTAGAAAAGTTACTAGGATCGATGATAGATTGTTGCACTAAAGGTAGTAAATTAGGTATGGAGTCTTCTGGTCTTGGAATAGAAATAATGATATCAGAGCCGTATTTTTGAATAAGAGTGTTATTCTGTTTAAGCCAATTAGATGCAGTAGTCAATGACAAATAGAACCAATTCGGCAGTTTATTAGTATTCAAATAAGCACGAACCAAGCCAGAATACAATTCTAACGAACAATAATTGTGAGAAATATTGATCATTCCTTTAAGATGATGATAGTTAGTATAGTGGTTCGAATCTGTAGCTCGATCTAATAAGCAATCCAAATGAACAGGTGATAGATATCTTCTATAAAATATAGGAACATTATTCAACTCTAAAGGAATAGAAAACAGTAACATAGGATAATGGCATGTTTTTTGATTCTTGCAGCTATTACAAATAGTGACTTGTTCTTCATTTTTTCTATTTATTCGTTGACGTAAAGAAAGATCAGGAAAAATTCAGGTCAGCATATACGTTTCATCTTGGTTATAGGGTATCCACACGATAGTGAATTCTAGCATAAGCATCGAACAATAGGCACAAGGAACACTTGGATGATCAAATAATATCTTTGTCTGAAATTCGGATAAAAGACTTATAAGATTAGACGAAGGAACCCATGAGGGAAAAGATTCAGGTATCAAGAGGGATAAATGGTCAAAATCATCATAAGTAGAAAAATCGGGTTGGGTAGGTGTATTTGATAGATTCTGATTTATTTTATTATGGTAAACATACGGTTCGAACAAAAAAAAAATTGGAACAGGTATTATCAGAGTTTTCATTTTCATATTCATCATAATAATTTAACGCAGAAGAATTTTAATCATATTCAGACATATTTCAGAACAAAGTTTTTGATATAGTATAGAAATAACCCAAAAGATGGTTCTTTTACAAAGAATGATTGTTCTATTTATATAGAAATTTATTGATGTTGCTGATTATTTAAAGGTTAACAATTTATTTAAGTTTGATATCATAAATGTTTTTTTAGTGAACAGATCACTAATATAAATCATTTTTCGAAGAATTCTCTGATCTTAACGATAGAACAGCAAATCCAAACAAAAGGACGATTAAAGATGAACAATGATAAACATTAAGATTTTCGCTCAAATAATCGATTCAAGTTAAATCAGCGAAATTTACACACAAAGATGACTTTTTTACTATAATAACAATATATTTAATATTTTAAACAATAAAAAATAAATACAATACAAAAAAAAAAAAATCATTAAAAAAAAAAAAGTAAAATAAAAAAAACAGAAAAATAAAATCAATATTAATCTTGATCAATCAGATCAGGTTCATCGTTATTTGAGACTTGTGTGATAGGATTTCTATTCTTAACTTGGAAGGCGGCATCCAAAAATTTATTATTCAATGTTTGGATATCTTCTGAAGCTTTTGAGGAAGAAGTAGTTGGTGGATTGATTCTAATCTGCTTTCTTAAAGCTGTCTTTTTAATCACATGTTTCTCTTCTATATCATCTAATTAACTATCAAAGTCAACTTGAGAAACAATTTTGAAGTTAGTTACGTTAGATGCGGTTTTACCCAGATAATTTCACTCTATATCTGACGTAATAATATGAGTAATCTTCATCGAGCCTATTTTCAATCTTCCTACGATGAATAGAACAGTTCTGGGTAGTTATCCTTCAAAGCATTGTATCTCCCATTTTCATTACTATATGATACAATTACATTTGTATCCAGATTCTTATGACTATTAATACCGTTATAAGATTTCCTAAACAATTCAAAACTTTTCCTGCCATTATCACTATCGCTATCAATATAAGAATCCGGCACCATAGGAGAGGAATACAACAACAAAAGCGCTGAATAAGAAAGATCATTGTGAGTTAATTTATCATTCTCAACAGATATAGGTATACTTTGAATCAATGTGAGCTTGAAGATAACAGAAAGTTAGCGATCTACTTCATAGAATAAAAAAAAAAAAAAAAAAAAAAGATTTATATATTCTATATTTTCTTCGTATATATATCGACCTACCATCAAAATGATTCAATTTTTTTCATATTCGGTAATTAAAGAGTCAGCACTATTCATATAGATTATTTATTATTTATTATTAATGTAAAGAAGAACAAGAAGGAAACATACAGAAAAAATAAAGAAAAATTCAAGCAATATTTATACAAAAAAAAAATATTGCAAAAGACCAACCAAAGTAAATCGTTAAATGCCAAGTCAGATAATCATAACCTTGTGCGTCTATTCGACCCTAAAAGTCATAAAAATATCATCTATACAAAAAAAAAAAAAGTGAAAACACCCAGATGATATTCGAATAAGATCAAAATAAACACAGGAAGATTTACCACAAGTAACCAACGAAAGCAAAACAATCATTCATCAAATACAAAAACATCAACGATGAGCACACTAAATCAGCACGTATCCACAAGAAATAACCAACGAACTACAAATGCAAAAACAACGCACACAACACAAAAAATCATTTGAGGCTGCAAAAATTGATCTTGATATGCAGATATTCACTGATAGACACAATACTCATACGAAGCATACATCGCATCAACAAAAAATAAAAACATAAAGTTGATCGTAAAGAAGCAAACACATCAGAAGAAAGATCGAACTATCCCAAACATCATATAATAATTGAGCATCACTGTCACAAACAGCGAATCCTACGAAAAAAGCGACACGATCGACATAAAAAGACGAAACCAGATCAACCAGATCGTAAAAAGAAAAAAAAGCATAGATCAAAGCCATTGATTTTTTTTTTATAAATAAAATCACTATACAGAGCGTAACAAAGTGAAGCGGTGCATACAAATAAGCACAAGCAACCACGAACAGAAAAAATGAGTATAAACAACAAAATAAGAGCACACCCAAAGAAAAACACACACGCATGAGAACATATAATATACAACGACATGAGTCCCATGTAACATGACAACAAAAAATAAGGAAAAAAACAAAGCAAATCAAGGAGAATCACTGACAAAAAAGTCGATGCATTGCCAAAAATAGATGACAACAGATACACAAAACCACCGTCGCTCCACAATGGGGTTAAATATATCGATCTCATCACATTGTAAATCCAGGTTTTAATCAAGATTTATAGTTACATGGATAATAACTTATAGAAATTTAGAAACGATCATAGAGTTAGTCACGATAAAGATATAATCTAAATTAGGATGTGATCTTCAAATTCTTTCGCTACAGCCTTCGACGATCATTGATTATCAATTCATCATACCGGCAAGAAATTCGACGAAAAGAAAACAAAA